GCTATGGACTCACTGAAGGCACGTCGCGCGCCGCCCCCCCCCCCTCACCCGCGCCCGACCGAGCAATGCATATTTATTATTTCTATTAAAATTATGCCATATAATGTTTTACAATTGTAAATTGAATGTTGTTTTATATAGCACTCGTGTAGCGTCTGTAAGAATGGTTGTGTCGTCGTCCTAGTGGTCCTCTGGGCGCGCCCCGGCCAGCCACCTCGCCACCTCCTCCTGGCACCAGTCCTCGCCCCAGTGCCGCACTGCCTCGGCCGCGCCGCACACAAACTGTTTCATTGACTACCAGTGGTGAACTCGCGGATGTTCATTCCCGATAATTCATTCAATGTCATTTCAAATATAGAACTTTTGTTAGGAAGTTCAAGGTGGCCTTTTTTGTCTTCGTGTCGTCTCCTTCCATACAACAACAGCTGCAACGTGCGGTACTTCCCAAACCCTCCAATTTATTTCCTTTAGTCCTAAGTTCAGCGAGGTGCCACCGAATCGCTGTGTGTGCGCGTTGTATGCAGCTTTTGCACTGAAGATTATATAAAACAAATTATAAGTATTTTTTCAATTAAGGTGTCTATAAAAATGTAAAAAATGCTGAACTGAAAACTAAGATTATATAGTATCATATATAATGTTTAGTGCAAAATACTTTTGTAGCACTCGCAGCCGGCCGCCCCGCCCCGCCCCGCCCCGACACGCCCCGCCCTGGCCTGGCCTGGCCTGACGCGTAGCCCAGGGCGGCCGGCAGTCTGTGAAGACGTATTTATTATTTGGAATGGCGCGTTGTTATGTATCATAGTCACGTTATGTATCAGCCTGTACAGTATTCAACGGACGTGTTAGAGTTAAGCTCTGTTGTTTTATTTATGAATAATTAAACTTGTGACCTGTATGAAAGTGTTTTATTTTACAAAATCATGTCGACTTATTGCCTCTGATGCTGAAAGTCAATACAACTATTTTAGGACGGAAGAGAAAATAAAATAGTGATTAGAGTGGAACATATATTTTATTGAGTAAATGACAATAAGCTGCCTCTAAAGTGGGGGCGGGGCGGTGTCGCGATCGCCGGCCCCGCCCCCACTCGTATTCACATAATTATACATGGGCACTAATATATGTTTTACAATAGTTGTTTATAGCATCTAGGACACGACTCGCGAGGACTGCGTCAAGTGCAGCAAATAGTTGTTATAGTTCATGTGACTACATCAAAGCATCTTGGTCCTACGCGTATATAATAATAACAAGGATAAAACTTGTGGTGGACGTGTGTGTGTACACAGAATGAATAGCGCTAGCCTATGTGTGCAGTACAGTGCAGCAGCACGCACACAAATATATATAACATTACTCGTTAAGAATATCACAATATCAAAATCCATGGAATAAATACAAAGATATGTCCTCGGGGCGAGCAGGAAGGCGATACTTTCTCACCGGGAATGCAATGTGGAGGCAAAAACTTGAGCAAACGAGTCGACTGTAAAATACTGGATGTGGTAAAACTTAAGTACACTTCGCTACCGCCTCCTCTAGGTAATGTTAGAACTACTAGACTAAATGTACTTAGAGCTAGGCCGCGGTCGCTGCGGGCGCTGCGGGCTGCAGTCGCGGGCCGCGTAAGGCACTGGCGGGCCGGCGCACGCGGCGCTCTGCGGGACTCCGCCTTTACTATCATCTAATTTAGAATCTTGCACGCTTTCGTTTCTTATATTTATTACAAAACTTACTTAATGCTAGGTGTCGACTCCGACGTCACCATCTCATTCGTCAGTTCACAAACCGGCGGGCGGGGTGCGGGGTGCGGGGCGCGCGGGCGGGGCGACCTCTCATCGAGACACAATACATATAAAAAGGAGTTACAAGTATAAAAGAGTAAAGATATAGATTCGAAAATATTAAATAAATTCGTTCGTTAACAATGTTCACACTGAGTGAGTTGTAAAGTGTAAGTTGTGTCGGCGAGCGGCCGCCGCGCCGCACTCCGCACTCCGCACTCCGCACATCTCGCCCGCACGCTCATCTCTCATCTCATCTCATCTCATCTCAATGTTCTACAACTATGTTTATTTACAATTTATATAACTTCAAATATAAGATTGTCTATCAAGTCAACGGGATGTCGTTGCCGCCGTTGTGGAAAAAAGTACACTTTGGTCTTAGAATTATTATTCTAAAGCAACAGAAAGGTAAATTTCAGTTATATACATATACAAAAACTTAACTAAACATATTGAGTGAGGTCACGTCACTAAATCCCACGTGACTCTACAAATATATTTTAAAATTATCTTGTGAATAACATTTAAAACCGATTAAGTTAAACACATGAAGAAAACATTCACATTCCTCGAGCTATTTACACGACCTTCCTGTACAGGTTTCATTTATTTTCATTAAATATTTAGTATTCCATTTGTTTATTAAGTATATAAATTTCTTAATGTTAAATAAATGATCGTCCATTAAACATGTGAAGCTTCAAAGGATTCGGATCGAAACGAAATATTGTTTAAAGTCAGTCAAAAATAAGTAGCAAAGTTGATGTCTGTCTGAACATTTGTCGGTGCGTTAATATAATACTTTACCAAATATCACAATCTGAAACAAAACAAAACATCACGTGACTAATGGACGACCTCGAACATGTAAATGCAGTATCCTTTTACATGTTCATATTGTATTGTATTGTGTTATAATTACTTAGAAATATATTTATGTAGACACAGTTACTTAGATCCCCAACATCAACACTCTTCACATAAATATACTTTTGATTTACTTACAACTACAATAAAATTCATTTGTCAGATGAAGTGTGTCTCGAGCGCGCAGTCGTGGCGCAGGTGCACAGGACACGCTGGCGTCACATTTCCATAAAACAACTCCTTTTTGTTCACAAATCATACGTTACATCATATAGAAAGATACGAGAGGCGGAGCTCGGCGCCGCCCCCTGCGATATGACGCACGCTCATCGCCCAGCGTCCAGCAGAAACAACGCACACTAAATAATGCATTGTCAGTTTGTTCTTTACATCAAATCCAACACAAATCTCACGGAAAGTTTACATAAATAACAATACGAGTCTTTTAAGTATCAAAGTAATTATGATTGTGACGGTGTTATATCGCACGATGGAGCACGAGGGAGCACGAGGGAGCCCCGGAGCTGTGCACCTATATGAGGCGCTCCTCGGGCGGCGGCTTGAGCGCGTTGTGCATCATCTCTGCGCGCGGGTTACAGTACTCCTGGCCGGAGGGAGAGTACGTGCCGCGCGTGGCCCGCTTGCGCCGCGCCTGCGCCGCCAGCGCCGCGCCCGCGCCCGCCGCCAGCGCAAGCGCCAGCAGCGCCCCGCCGACACCCAGCGCCACACGCGCCGCGCCCCCGCCGCCCCCGGCCCCGCCCTCCAGCCCCGCCTCGTCCAGCGCCTGCCGACAACGGACCGCACGCGTGCATATTCCGACACATGTACGACAGTACAAGCAATTCCTTAAGACACCGAACAATGCGAAACGGCGGCGCACCTGCTGCGTGCAGTTCTTGCCGGCCCAGCCCGCGCGGCAGTAGCACGTGTAGTCCACGTGCGCCCCGCATCTCTGCTCGCACCGCCCGCCGTTCTCGCACGGCCCCGCCTCGCCCCGCGCCGTCACGTTGTCCTCCCCACCCACCTCGCCCTCCCACCTCGTGTAGCACGGGTCGGGCAGCTTGCACTCGTCGCCGCACAGGCCCGGCGAGCACTCGCATCTGAACACGTGACCAAATATTGTCACACACGTTACACATTGTGAAGCAGTGTTATGTTGTTGCTGGTGGTGGTGGCACTCACGTGTAGGAGCCGGGCAAGTTGCGGCAGCGGCCGGGCTCGCAGCGCACCAGGCCCGCCGCGCACTCGTCCACGTCCGTCTCGCAGCGCGCGCCTGTCCATCCTGCGCACACGCAACACGCAACACTCAACACTCACACTCACGTACAAAAGTAACGTCATCAAGCTCGACCTCCTGATCCTCGTCCCCGAGCACTCTGTTAGCTCGGCCTCGCGTCGCATACTACATCATCATTGTGGAAAATGTCACTAAAACTTAAAACCGTAATAAACTTGTTTTTTGTCATGAACTAGCAATTATCGGCGACTCGTTCGCGTCACCAACAGATAGTATAACCTGACAACGGTAAAAGCAGTTTTCAAATTTGTTCAGTTGTTTTGAGGTCTATTCAATGCAAACAAACAATCAGATGTATTTATAACATAATAAATATATAGATAAGTTAGCGCTCGCTATTGATGGAGTCATTACTGAGATAAATATCTAAAGTCGATTCAAAAATATTATAAATCGCTTTTAAGGAATTCGGAAGTGGCTGAAAATGGATCGTAACAAAAACTGTTTGGAAAAAATCGTCCGTCGCGACTCCTGACTGAGCGCGATAAAAACTATGACATTGTGTGTGAAACGCAAACAAGGACACTATTCAATACAAGATAACATAATCACGGAACACCTTCACTTGTCTTGTATCTAAACACTTTTCTTCCACTCATTCACTGGTGCAAAGTATAGCACAGTACGACCTCACAGCGGTCTCTACTGACATCTATAAAACCATTAACAAATCATAAACATTAATCGTACAGAATAACAAAAATGTGAGATAAAAGTTTCGAGAGTGATGACATCAATTAGTAATTGATCATTTGCCAAAGTGATAGTTCGGTGCGTACCCAGCAGCAGGAGGAGGGCGAGGGCGCGCCGCATGCCGCCGACACCTCACGCGGACCTCACGCAGACCTCACGCGGACCTCGCGCAGACCTCACGCGGCGCACACACACCGCACATAGACCTGGTGCGTCGCACTGACAACACGACACTGGCCGCGCCCTCGTCGCGACCACCCGCCTACTGATTCACCGACCGTGCGTACCTC